TTTGAACCGATGGGAGTATTATTCCCCCTAGTTCGCAGAAGCTTACGCTTGCATGTCCAACGAGCATGGTTGCAACTTTCGCCACATTGATCGGAAGCATCCATCCTCTGGATCACTGTGACATTTTGTTGAGGTCTTCTTGCTGCCCTTCAGCTCTCTTCAGATTTCTAAGTCATCTGCGTATAGGACCATAGGAGAGTCGGTGAGCAGAGATAACTCATTTATATACAAAATAAATAGGAGAGGTATGAGTACCGTTCCTTGTGGCACTCCGCTACGTACTGCTTTCCAGGAGGAGAGTTTCGAGTTGATCCTAACCCTCTGCATCCTAACTGTGAGGAATTCCTTAATTCAGGTTACTCAGCTGCCTTTGGTAGCAAGACCTTCCAACTTCATGAGTAGTCTCTTGTGAAGAACTTTATCGAAGGCTTTGCTGAAGTCTATGAAGATGACGTCAACGGGTCTTTCGGTTGTCCCTTGATTTGACCCAGCTTTCTCTTGCAGTGAGGAGATTTGACAGACATGAGTGGTTTCTTCGGAAGCCGTGCTGTGCTCTGGATAGCGTTTTGTTGTTTTCGAGGTATGCAATGATACTTTTCTTGGTGATTCTTTCCAGTGTCTTGATTAAAGTGCTGGTGAGACTAGTGGGCCTGTAATTTGAAGGGCTTTGTCTTGATCGTCCTTTGTGGATGGGGGTTACTATGGCGTCTTTCCAGTCACGCGGTAACACTCCATTTAGGAGAGAGAGCTTGAAGATAGCAGTCAATGGGCTGGCTTTGTGAGCTGATAATTCCTTAAAAGGTCTTGGACGAAGAAGGCAAACTTAAACTTTAAGCACCAGTAACAACCAATCAGCAAACGACCTTGAACGGACCAATCACATGAAAGAGGCGTTTATGATAAGTGGTAATGTATATTCATAGAAAAATGCATAAAATATAAGATAAGACAATTACAACGGGTATCTATCACAGACATGGGACAGAAGCATTTCCCAATTCAGCGTGCGACTGTCTATAGAGAAGTCACACCAAATGATAGCCTTTCCACTCGTCGGTATGTACAACTGATCCCGGTTTCACAAGTCGCTTTATAATAGGTACCAGAGTAGTCGCCTTCCTGTCTGCTATTGTTTCAACAAACCCTTTCCGGAGGGATGTGTCGTGTAAACCTATGACCCAAATGTTGTTCGCTCTCTGACGACAGCGGTTATATTTCTTCTTCACCAACACTGTCTCATCCACATGGACTACTACATCGTCCCCACCTAACAACGAAGTACTTCTGTACATTTTCCATGAGGCGATGTCCCTGCAGTGCTGGTATACCAGTGGTATACCACTGAACTGTTGAGACGAGGCTGTTCTCCGTCTCGGCAGCAGCGGCTCTCACGGGCTGTTTCAGTATCCAGTAGTTGCAAATGTACAAAATCTAGGTTAGGGAGAGATGCGACCTAGCAAAAAAGTTCCTAAGAAATATTACCCTCTCTAATACTAACTCGCTTCCAGCATATTCCACAGCGATGTACAAAACCATCAGTTGACCTAGTATAGCTTTTTAGAGTCACTACACCACCACACGAACAACTTCTCTACTTTCCAAGCAAGCCTCAGTCCAGGCAATAATAACAGACACTAACCTCCTCAAATTGCAAACGTAACCTTGTAATGGCACGCAGTGAAATGAATCAAGCGCTATGCAACATTGAACTACGTTCGTGAATCTCATTGGATAAATCGACGTCGTTCTCTGATTGGTAGTCACTGGTGCTTAAAGTTTAACTTGGCCTAATATCAGGACTTATTGATTTCCCCGAAACTAGTTTCTCTAGGCAGTTGAGCAGGATTTGTTGGCCGACGTCAACGGAATCTATGCCGTGTTCCTATGATGCACCCAGGGCTGACTCTATTTGGAATGACGACTCCTGTGTACAGACTGAAAGAAGCAGTCAACCATTGCTTCTGCTTTTTCTTGATCTTCTTAGATTGTGCCTTTGTCAACAGTCAGGTCTGGGATACTATTGGATGTTTTATTCTTGGAGCTCATGTACGAGAAAATATTTTTAGTTGCACAGTTGCATTTTGAGCCAGATTTGCTTCGAATTTCATCCTTTATTCGCGGATTTCTGCAAAAGCTTTCTTCGTAGTGGTATAATTTCCTGGTCTCAGGAGTCTCAAGTGTCACAAACAGTTTCCAACATTTGCGTTTACATCTGGGCAACTTACGAGTCCCCCGATTAATCCTCGAAGGGCAGTGTTTACAACCCTTTTGGACAAACCAAGAGATGGGAGGTTCGGTTATTTGGGCGTGAAGTTGTTCTACTTGGGACTCTGGGTTGATGTACCAGTTCACTGAGTTGGCTGCTGAGACGATCGTATTTATATCAGATTCCCAAACGTTTGGTCTAGCTGGGTTTTTGGCCATGATACTGCTTCTGTGAACTTGAAAGTGAGCACAGCAGGATCACTTCTTTCTAAAGGTGGAAAATGTTGTATGAGATCCATATTGTCACCATGGGAGAACACAAGGTACAGAGTTGAAGAGAAGTGCTGCGAGTCATAGCGCGTGGGCTTAATGACATGTTGGACTAGGGCTAGCGAAATGCTAGATTCCAGCAGCTTTTGATCTAGGGGGTTGTTTGAAGATGGCGTTGTAAGGCTTCTCCAGTCAACTGTTGGGGATTTGAAGTTGATGACTACGATATTTCAACATTTTGATGTCCGGGAGCTTAGTTTTACTATTAGGAAGTCATCTGCACTGCAGTCAGGACTGCAGTATATAGCAATGAGGTAAATACCTTGGCCTATGCATTTGAGTCCGCAGCGTAGAAGTTCGCACGATTCACTTTTGTGAGCAAGTGCTTCGATGCTACGCACGGTTAAGCATTTCTTGAGGTAGATGACGACGCCACCTTATGGACTTTGAATTTTGCACGTTAACGTCGTTATCAGTGACATCGGGTGTGAGCTATGTCTCTGTGATAATAATTACATCTGATTTCCGGAGTCTACCATATTAACCAGCTAAGCCCGTGGCCAGAAAAGATAAGCAGCAGAGATCTCTGGGAGCGAACCAACCAGGAACCAATTGTGAAACAAATAGGCAGGAAGCAATGGAGATGGATTGGCCATACTCTGACGAAAACATCAAGTGACATCACTAGACAAGCCATTGCTCGAGTGGAACCCGAAAGGGAAGCGGCGAGTTGGTCGTCAGTGCAAGGGTGACTTGGAGGAGGTCATGTGAAGAGGAGATGAAAACGTGTGGGCGGACTTGGAGCCAGGTGAAGACGTTGTCAGAGAACCGAACGCAATGGAGACGTGTGGCTGAATCCCTATGTTCCTCTAGGAATTAAAGGAAACAATGATAATATAATAATAAGCCTGTTCGTTAATCAGGCTGTGGGCATTTGTGTAGAAAACTGTCATTTCAGTGTGGTGCTTCCGCGGCCTACAGAGGTTTCGGAATCATCAAACTTAGACTTTGACAACTCGAAAACCTTTAAACATAAGGGTTTTACGCCGTTTCGGCGATGTTCACTTAATCCTAGGGCCGCAGACTGTCTTTTGACACGGTCTGCTAGGTATAAGTCACCACGGACGTATATGCCTGATCCTTTAGGAGTCTGAGACTTGCCTAAATTGGCATCAGTCCCTTTTTGGAGTTAAAGTCACGCTGGAACCCAAATTTGGGAATGGAGGCCGGTGGCTCTTCCACTTCGTGGAGAATGAGGGACCTGTCAGAGAGTTCAGGTTCGTTTGCTATGGCTTTCTTGCTCTGCGGCGTAATTTTCTTTCCGTCCTTCATGGACAGTGTGGCCACCATGTTTACCTTATCTCGCTTTTTGAGAGACCACATTACGCCATTCATTGGCGTCCTGCTCCCTAACTACAGTCGACTGTGTCTGCCTGCTATCCACCGGTGTAGATGAGGCTTGGTCTACAAGTCTCTTTGGTGACTTGAGCTGAGGATTTTCGACCCTTGGCACAACTCTTCTTCGTACCAGCCTTTCCATCACTGCGACTGAGGGGCTTATCCGGTGTTGAAGGGCGGCATGAGTGTCTGGAATATGTGGGGGGTGCTCTTCTGTGCTGAAGGGCATTCACTTCCTGACAGAGACGCGTCAGGAACGTGTATTGTTTTGTCGATGACGCTAGTCACGTCATCGGTGTCTGAGCAGTAGTTGCTCTTCTCCTGAGGACCTATGCAGTCCAGGAGTTTTATAGGCCCGATAAGGGTGACAGTGGCTTCTATTATACGAAACTTAGTCGTACTACATCAGTCACTGCACAGCCAGTTCCCCAGAGGTTTTCAGCAGCGCTTGTATGCTGCAGGAGTTAGGTTTTTGCACATCCTATAATACCATCTCTTGCAGTTATCACACTGCACTCTGTTCTCAACTGGAAATTGGCACATATGTCTTCCACAGTGGTTCCTTCCGATAGGCGTGCTTTTTAGAGTGAAATGGGACAAGAAGATTCAAATATGAACATGAGTAAATAACCTTTATAAATCAGTGATAAAAAAAACCAATGAGTGTAGAAATATGGATATGTATAACTATAAGTTTATAACAACACAACTTCCTTTAATTAAATGGACTCAAAACTGAAACACAAACTAACTTCAATCAGAATAAACTGGTTTAAAGTTAATCTATAGACTCTTGGAGCATATAACACAACAGAAGCCGAAATTAAGCAAGAGCGTGTAAAATTGACTCCATTTTCAAAGTTCGTGCGGCCAGGAAAAATAAATGGAATATAGTAGCATGTAGACTGCACCGAATCAGTAAATGGTTCTGTAAATTTCTACCTATCTCAATCATCAAATTCTAGGGAGGGCCGTTATGCAAATGCATTGCTGTAGTTCTGTAATATTCCGAGATAATTATTAGACATTTTTCAATAGGAAAAAGTCTATGGAAGATCAATTGGTCGTTTAGTTAGCAATGACAGAAATCAATACTGGAACCATAAGTGTTGTTTGATTACTTTGGCACTCATTAACCGCTTCATTCAGTTACGATGTCTTTGCTGGGGTCAGTTGCTTTTAGTTTTCTGAATTTGAGGTGTGGGTGACCTATTTTCGTATTGCACAGTGCCTTAAGTAAAGTGTTATTAACTAGGTTATCCGAACATTGAATTGCGTGAAGATAATCAGCTCCTAGTAGTATTTAGGGTTAAAATTAACTCATGTAAGATACTTGGGCTGTATGAATGTTTTGCCTTGAGAAAAAAGTGGTTTGAGGTTTCGGACCTATACATCTCTGTGTACTGGCTTGTATTTTACCCCTTTGGTCTTTTTTTACACAATTAAATGTATGAAGTCAGTTAAAGTTTGAAAACTGTTGGCCCGTTGTACATGTACTATTTGTACATCAAGAATGTATAGAATTCTATTATCCGGTCGTTATTCGTCTGCATATTTAAACGCCTGTTGTCCTTATACTGCCGGCTAAAGCAAAATAATGGTTCATATGCTGGTATTGAGAACATTCACGTAGCCACCAGTTCATGATTACTAGAACTTTCTGGCGTGGTAACAATAGTGCGTAAACCTTTTCTGTGGTTTTAAAAGTCTGTACACACGTTATGTGATTATTCATTTGGTTTACAGTTCAGTTTATGAAACTGGTCACGCTTCACATTGATCATGATCCCTCTTGTAGCACATTGTTTAATTCTCGGTGAAGAAACCTCCCAGCCTTTGAAGTATCTCAGTCGCCTGCTTGATGCTTGTGAATGTTAGTGATCAGTAGTGCTACCGATAAACTATCGGAAATTTTAGTCTTTTCAATTGTTTTTTCTTATGCAGTATCTAATCACATTCAGCAAACTTCCTGCGCGTGTTCTGTGTGGTGCACTTATGTTCTACCTGCAAATGAATGCATTTTTCTCCCTATTTACTCACCTATTTGCAAGCACTACAATATTCAGCTACTAGTGTGCTAGATTATCACTTTCAATTAAACCAGAACAGGAGGCCTTTATTTAAGCCTTACGGTTAGTCTAAGCTGAATCAGGCCGTCGAATTTTGCTATTTACATGTGTCCGTTTCGACTGTATGTTATGCTAAGATCTTTCGTTTCTAAGTTTGTTGACTCATTTGAAAGCATTCAAGTATTCCATTTTTACTGCGTTCATTATGCGAGACTCAGGGTTTGGCAGAGATTTTATTTTGCAGGGTCAAGATAACCTCATGAAGTATAAATATATGTAAACAAGTCAGTTGCACAATTCATCATACTTTTCATATAGGATACGCTGTTATCACTTCCTAGACAAGTTTTCTTTGTTCTTGAGTATGTTATGAAACGGAGTCTTTACGAACAAGCATGCTGCGTTCCTATTTCGTCACTGGTGATAAGCTTCATTACCACTGTTCTGAAGATGCTTCAGGTCCTAACATGGTGTCTTGCTATATCGTGAATTCGGGTGCTTTATAAGATGAATTGAGAATGGGTGGAGTAAGATTCTTGAGAAAAGACGAAATTCACCACTGCTAGGGAGATTTCCAGCTCATTAGATTGGAACCTTGAGACCGTAGGATTTTCTTATATTTTGCGCATATTCTAATTCGTCACTCTTTTAGACAGCTACCAGCTCCAGTTCAGAAGAATGGAGATGACTATGGGACTGCTCTGAATTTAAATGTAGGTTCAAGAGTACTTGTCGCCAAGTCAACAATCCCGCCGTACGGACACAGAAAGAATTGGGTACCACGCACTCAAGAGGATTTTCTAGATGGAGGGGCATTTCCGGAAATTCATGTCCCCCAGTATCCTCTTGGAATGGGACAAGAAAAAAATTTATCAAATGCCCTGGTTATGAAAACTGACAAAGATGGAAGGATAAGATACGATGAACTTGTTCGTCAAGGACATAGCAAAGATAGGATCATCTATTCTAAGTTTTCGGACTTACTACCCAAATCTATTGAAGACGATGATCCTGAGCTGAGTAAACCCAGTCAGGAAGCAATTGAAGAGGTATGTTTTTATTTCCCTGATAGTTTTTGTTAGACAACAGAAAAAACACGGAAAGCCTTAGAATCACTAGTCGAAATGAAAGTGGCTGCCGCTGCACCTGTTCGTCGAGCAGAGAAAACAAATCCTGCTGAATACATTCGTTATACACCTTCACAACAAGGAGCTGCCTTCAATAGTGGAGCCAAACAACGCCTTGTTAGAATGGTGGAGATGCAGAAAGACCCCATGGAGCCTCCCAAATTCAAGTAATTACGATTGATTTCAATTTATGTTTTAGAATCAACCAGAAGATTCCCCGGGGACCTCCTTCTCCACCACCACCTTTGATGCACTCCCCGGCAAGGAAAGTCACCGTTAAGGAACAACAAGACTGGAAGATTCCTCCGTGCATTTCTAATTGGAAAAATCCAAGGGGATATACCATACCGTTAGACAAACGAGTTGCTGCAGATGGTCGTGGACTTCAAACAGTTCACATTAATGAGAACTTTGCGAAATTAGCAGAGGCACTTTATACGGCAGATAGAAAAGCTCGTGAAGCTGTAGAAATGAGAGCACAGATTGAAAGAAAAGTTGCCCAAAAAGAGAAAGAACGAAAAGAGGAGCAGCTACAAAGAATCGCTCAGCAAGCTCGTGAATCTCGAGCTGGTCTTCGTAGACCTGGTGCAGTGGATGGTGAAGATGCTGATCCTGGTTTGAATGATCGTGAAGAATTGAGACGTGATCGTGCAAGAGATCGTGCTCGAGAAAGGAATCTAGCTCGTGCTAACACAGAGACTAAAGCTAAGCCTGAAAAAGACAAAGATCGGGACATTAGTGAGCAAATTGCACTCGGGCTTCCTAATCCTCGGTTTAATGCAACAAGTGAAAGTCAGTTTGATCAGAGGCTTTTCAACCAGTCTAGGGGTTTGGACTCAGGTTTTGCAGGAGGTAAGTGCATATTTCATTCATTTAGTTCTTTTAGGCGAGGATGACCTTTACAACATTTACGATAAACCGTGGAGAGGAGACTCAGAACTTGGAACTCACATATACCGTCCACGTCAAAAGGATAATGACGCTTATGGTACAGATCTTGATGCACTAAAGAAAACCAAACGCTTTGTTCCTGACCGTGAGTTTTCAGGAGCTGACCATTCTCGCCGATTGGATGGTCCAGTTCAGTTTGAACGAGATGAAGAGGATCCCTTTAATCTCAGCAAATTTTTGTCCAAAGTCAAGAAGGCAGAAAAGCGGCCAGGGGAAGGTGCGTCAGGAGCAGATGTTAGCAATCGAGATACTACTCATCGAAAGAGGGATCGCAGAGATTAGAAATACTTAACTTTCATATATTGTATATATTGTTTTCAACGATATACTTTGCACAGTAGTTTTTGGCTTCGTGTTGGCCATCATATTAACTAAGTTTAACTGTGATGTATGAATACTTCAAAATATATGTACAGCTGAAGTCACTTTTCATGTCTATTTTCCTTGGCTTCTTACTACATAGGTGGTTGGCTTGTTTGTGCTGTAAGTGCATACGCTAGTTATAAATGTGGTCGTTCAAAGTATGGCGTTAGTCAGTCCCCGTTCGGTCATAACCGTTATCACTGTTAGGAGCAGTGTAAGTACACATTAGTTCTCTTCTCCAAAAATGTAGTGTACCCATGAGATACTGATACAGCCTTACGTAAGTAGTGGAGACCAATCGATGAAGTTGTGAAGCTGTATCGAGTGAGACAGCTAGGACACTTGTCCCGCATGTCAAGCTATCACCTTTCATATCGAGCAATGCTAACTGATGTAGGATTAATTTAAAAAGGAGTTAAGGGTTGTCAGATGAAAACTTAGCTTGCATCTATGAAATCTTTGACAGTTTATTTGAGCCACCCACTAAGGGAGTTACAGACTGCGTAGTTGGGGTTGTCGAGTAGCTAAGGCCCCATGGCATGAGGCTATTGGTAACATTTCTCGAAATCGTTCCCAATAGAGCCAATTCATCCACTCAATGGACTCCCGGGATCGTCAGATCTCTATTGTTGTCCATATACTTATTCTTCCTACTGCACATTTCAGTTCTCTGTAATTTCTTGGTTTTTTTAAATTTTCTCCTTATTTCATTTTCATGAAGCGTGTCTAATTATAATGCTTTCAGTCAGAGCACAGGCCGTTTCAAGCAGTAAAACCTGAACTATGAGTTTACGCAGTGATCAAATGTAAGGAAAACATGCAAAATGCAATACTCAGTAATTGTTTTGATTAGTTGAAGAGATATGTTCTCAGAGGAATCAGTTTATCAAAATGACTATAAAGAACTTTGGGTAATTTATTACACAGCAGAATAAGAGGTGTCAGCTGGCACAAACTCCTCACTGTTAGCAGGTTTTTAGAAAATATAAACTTATTAAGAAGAAAATCTAGTGCGTTATGTTACCAGTTTTGTCATCATCTTAGCACTTTAAATTAAGTGATGAGTTAAGAATATCAAGGGTAGACGCAGGATTGAAGGAAAATTTCCTCGCTGTTATGACGTAATTTTATGACTCAGTACGAGAATCTCTCCTGCAACAAAAATGTAAAATTCTTTGCTCTGTACTGATTACAACACATTCGGATTCTAGTAATTTTTCGAACGATAGACCGTTCAAACCTATACACCACCGAATCTTGGTGGGATAATGAGCTGTACCATGTTGAATACTATGTTACTCAAGCTAGCCCCTTTTTACTAATTGCCAGGTGACCGAAGACCTGCACGAGTTTAACAAAACTTATCTGAATTCCATTACACTGGATGGGACTTTGGTCTATTCAGTAGTTCATCGCCACCTTCATTGATTACAGGACTGAAAATATTCTGATTTTGCTTTATTTCATCTTAAGTTAGAGACAGCCTTCGTACCACCCAATATCCTAATCGGATTTCTCTTAGTTTAATCTACCTCTGAAAAATCCTTTTCTTTATTAGGCTCAAGCATTTGAAGAACATTATCTATTTCCAGTGGCTTTTCTACTGATTTCGCTTTTGTCGCTTACTTTTGTCCCATATCTTTGACAAGACTGTTAATCAGCGCACTTCTGACAAACTCTTGCCACTTGTCATGTTCAAATGTCACCGGTACTAGTCACATTGCAGCGATAACTTTGAATGTGTTTCCTTTATCGGTGAGTTTCTATAGCTTATGAAGTAAATTGACAATGTGGGTCACGGTTATCATAATTGCCTAGGACCACTAAAAAGAAAAACAAATGACTGCACCAAGCAAACGGTCGTGATTGTCAGTTGTATTACCATTAATCTGTAGACCTGCTGCGATAGTTTATATTCGATAATGAACAAAAGCCGTCCTAAACGCTGGGCCTTTAGTCATACTTGGTATGCGAGACTTCCGACAAGACCAATTTTAATAAAATTTTCACAAGCACAGGTGTGTATAATTTACGTAAGGATGTGAGACCAGGTAAGTGATTTCGTTTAAAGTTATTTTTGAAGCCATGCCTTTGAGATCAGATGTTATGCGCATAATAAGGCCAAGCGGTCAGGTGGTTGAATACGTAGATTCGAATGCAGGGATAACCAGCAGAATTTGCTTCGCCCTGGAATCACAGGTTCAGTTATATCGGAAATATGGAGAGGTGGTGTGTATTGACTCAACATACAATACCAATAAGGACGGGTAGGTTATACGTGAAACGGTTGACAAATCTTAATCAGATATTCTCTGTTTCAGTTGGTGGTAACAGACAATATAGGTCATGGCAGGCCTGTTTTTTTGGCATGGACGAGACGAGAGAGGTCATGTGATGTAGCTTGGATATTGGAACAATTCCAAAGAATAATGCAAAAACTTTCGTAATGGATTCGGCCAACTGTGAGATATCCGCCGTGCGTAATAGTCAAATTCAGGCAAAAATGGTCATATGTGCATTTCGTGTATGCCGGGCTTTCAGCAGGAAGGTGAGGTGAATTTAATTAATACTTGATGCATTTAGACTCGAAATCCTTTTGTACACGGGTTTTTATATCGTCTTGTTAAAGCTGGGACACCTGAAAGGTAAATGCATTGATTTCTAAACATTTAGATTTCATCACTACCTTAGTGTCATTAGGATGGTTGATCGGAGGGTGTGGAATTATGACAGGCATTACTGGATGCCTAAGAAGGAGATTATAGGGGATAAACTGATACAGATGTTGTGGACAGTGTTTGGCGGACTTTGTGATGAGTAGTCATCATAGATATGATGCAGCTATAAAAAACTCTACAACTGTGATTTTTTTCACTGGATTGTTATTCAGTCTTTTTAGTGTAGATATGTACTCTTTCATTCTGAGTTATTTTTAACTTGATTGCTTGTTGTTTCCTTGCAAATATATGCACTTAAGTCGACTAACTTTGTCTCTTTTACTTATCATTTTGAGGACATTGCAGAGTTAACGAGAATGATAGGCAACGTAGTAATACATACGTGAAATGCGTCAGTCTTCAAACTGTTATTATTTCCTCAATGCGTCATTAAGCCTTGCGTAAAGTGTTTCACTTACGTTTAGTCCGGTTGCGTGTAATATTACTCAAGATTGTTAAGAAGGTGGCCGCCAAACATATGTTCGTAATGTGATAACGAAACATAACCTAGCAAACGTAGGTTCTATACGTACACGACTTGTATTGGTAGTCCAGGCACTTCAGGTACACTCTGCAACGCACATCCTATTTATCACAAATAGTCTGTTATTCTTATGTTGCGTTTAACACCGCTATCTCAAGGGAAATAGTTAGGCAATAAAGAGATAACTACACTACTCTTCTTGTGTTATCATTTCGTATCAATAAGCTCATCACATCGACGCTTAGACTCGTGCACTAGTTGACTACGTCACTAAACTTCTGTGATTTTTTTGTTATCATAAAATACTGTAACTCATTAGATAGGCTTTTGTTGTACATGTCGCGGAAGCAATTACTCAAGAGCAATAACAGTATCCCCTCGTCACCAGATTCAACCACGTGTAAATATGACATTTTACGAATATTACGTCTTCTACACTGGCATGACTTCGCGACTCGACAAACAGTAAGTATTAATAGTGTACGAATGGAGTGAAAAATTTTAAAAACAATATTTATTTCGATAAAAACAGTCGTAATATCACAAATATTTCATCATTTACACAAGTATTATCCTTTTTAATCCCATTCGAATGTCTAAATGTATTGAGTGATTGAGGAAGTAAAGACCATAATCTGGAAATTAAAAATGAGAAAAATTTAGTGAGAAAGTGATGAGTTAAATAAATAACATAGTATCTACCATTTAAATGACTGTCTCTTCACCGTTATGTGACGAAATAACCAACTCAGTTTCCTTTCATACTGTGAGATTTGGTAAAGATCGTGAAATCATAATTACCTCGATAATTAAACACCTTCTGATCATTTACGTAAAATACACTACAAAAGTTGGAATTATTCGGCATTTTCTATCATAATTGACATTTTCCAACGAATTCTGACATTTCTTATGCACCTCAGCATGTCAATTCCATGAAAACACAGCATGTTGTCAACACACTGAAAACGACCGTTTTTCTCACGTTTTGCACGTTTTTTCGTTAAAATCCGATTTTTAAAGTGCATTTCTGTCGTAAAACCCACTAAAAACAACGTAGAATAGCCCAAACACGACACCACGATAACACCTTAAAACTGCAGCAATCAGCTGATTTGTGCCTCTATCCTATACCTGAAATCACAATATTACATGAGTTAAATCTTCCCCCAAAACCAAGGCCACTTGAAACCAATAGCAGCGCAGCAACAAGTGTTATCAAGGGGATATGCAATAAAGTCGCTCAGATTCAAACTGCCATAATTCGCAAACTGCTTATTAATTAATAGGGAGAAGAAAAGAAATTCTGTAAAGGATTGCTTATCTGGGACTTGAAATCTCTACACAGCGAAATAATGTGCATTTTGTCTCCAAATCGTCGCTTGCACTGACCTCCCGTTCTGTACCACTTCTGCCCTTCGTGTTTCTTTACCATCCCGTGTCTCCCATATTTTGTCGCGACACTGGTTCATTTGGTCTCTTTGACGTCCAATCTATCTCACCTATATTTGACATTTTTGCGCCGAACGCCTGCTTACACTAAGGATAAATCATTTTATTTACACACCGGATGAATTGACAGCTGTTGGTTGAATTTAGTTTTCGGATCGCATAATAAAATGAAGGTAATACGTTCTCCGGACTTTTCACTCATCGCCATACAATGGAATCAGTAATATGCAATGCAGAGACACTGTGTTTTCATCTATAGTGAACATCTTCTCATTGAACGGGAAGGACGTAACAGGGCAGCCATTTTCTGCAAACAATGAAAATTATCTTTTCAATTGTAGTGTCACTGATGGTTTGTAAGTGTCAGGGGTGGAAAGTACTCAGTCACGCCTGAAGCAAAGAAGACTGAGAACA